TGTAAACTTGGTAAAGGCGGCTCATTGGCATCGACTTGATCTTGAGGTAAGTCTAAACCGGGCAAACATGGCAGAGGAGGCTCATTGGCATCGACTGGGGGCTCATTGACACCAACTGGAGGCTCATCATCGACTGGTTCAGTCTTTACTACAACTTGCCTTCTCTGAAACAAAAAGACATGTGGATTTAAATATGTATAGATGATATTATATATCTGTATGATTTGTAAAATATTACATGTACATTTGAAATAAAATAAATTATTCTGAATTTCTGATTGATCTGATACATCTGAGATGAAAATTGTATATAAAACATGTGGATTTGAACATGTATATATTTGCGTGTGTGGTGTGATTTGTATAATGTTGCATGTGAATTTGAAACAAAATAAAATATTCTGATACATCTGAGCTTAAAATTGTCATATAACATGAAATTGAATATTAGTATAGATAAGTTATATGTGTGTGATTTGTTTAATATTACAATAATTACATGTGAATCACTATCATATCCAAAAAATGTAAATATAATATATATTGAAAAAATACTGGTTAAGGCTAGTTAATGATAGTTAGGGATAGTTAATGATAAATGCTTGTCCTTGCTAATTGTAAATTAGCCACTTTTTGCAATTAATAATCTAACTTAATTAGAATTTCACCTTGTTTGCAATGTGAAGAATTGTTTGCTCCAAACTTGCATATGTGGAATCCCTCTCAGTCTCATGTAGGTCTGGAAGAGTTTTAAAACGGGGGTCCAATGCACAACACTCCAACAGAAATTGCAGTGTAGTAGGCTCCGTATAACGGGATTTCATGTCATCGTAGATGGCATTTTTGACAGCTTTCACCAGCTTGGAGTCTGTTTCCAGGGGAGTCATTGTCTGAAGGAGCACATTCTTTGTTGGCACTATTAAGGAGATTGTAGGATGTTTCGCATCACACAGCATGTTGGTAACTGTAAACAGGGGTTCAAGAACGACCACGAGTGATTCAATATTAGAAATGTCATGATCACTAAGGGTATCGATATCACGAAGATTTTTGCGCACATCCTTCATCGCTAATGTTGCTGCGATAGGAACCTGTTGTTCAAGGTAGCGATTGAACATTAGGTAGGTAGAGTTCCATCGGGTAGGTACATCATTTATTAGCTTGTGTACAGGGAAACTGAGAGCTTGCTGTTGCTGCTTGAGCTTACTAGCTGCAGAGGTAGACTGATTGAAAAATTTAACAATCCGCTTTACTCTTGCTGCTAGAGTGGCCATTGTAGGGATCTTCATTGCCTTTTGTCCTGCTAGATTGATTGTATGCGCTAGGCAACCTATATGTGGATGTAGAGAGGATTCCTTTATTGCCACTACCATGTTACTTGCGTTATCAGTTGTGCAAGGAATGGTCAACCCCTCTCTCTCCAGTTTCCACTCATCAACGGCATCCTGCAGAACCGCGGCGACGTGAGATCCCGTGTGAGATTCGGTCATTAGTCTAGTCTGCAGCACCGTATTAACAATCTTCCATTTCGCTATGTAGTGACATGTAATTGTCATATAACTTTCAGTGGCTCTCGAAGACCACCCGTCTGTTGTAAGGGACACGCCTTTTGCAAGTGCAATGGATTTTTCCACCCTTTTTCTTACATCAGAATAAATCTTAGGTACAACATTCTCACTGTAATACTTTCTTGATCGAATTTTGTATTTCGAATCCATGGTATTAAGCATGTGTTGGAATCCTTTATTCTCCACAACACTGTACGGGCGCATGTCCATAGCTATAAAGATTCCAATAGCTCTAGATATCGATAAAGCTTTAGGGCTTATATCTGGGTATGGTAATTTCAAAGCGGATGCTAGTGTAGGCTGCGAAAGCGACTTTTTCAGGGATGGCTTTGATAGGCCTGAAGATGAGGTTGAAGTAGCCTTGCTAGAAGTAGCCTCTGGCTCTAAGCCAGGATGATAAACACGGATGTGTTTTAACATGCGGGAGGTATTCCCTGAAAGAAAAATTGAAAATAAAATAGCGATAAATTACTAGGCCTAGTAATACAATAGATATTCACTCACTAATTGAAGTCCTTCTAGGTTAATTAATTTTAAAATAAAATAGACTCATCGCTCATCTCAAGATTTTGTAGTCTAGTTGGAACTTGGAACCAAGAAAAAACTGGAAAAACGAACCTGCTTCATAGGGAAGTACTGTCTGACATACTTTACAGATAGTTTTGTTTTTATTTTTTTCAACTGGTAGAGGTATCCCAAACAAATTCCACACCATAGACTTTTTGCCTGATACTTCGGCCCACAGGCCTGTTTCAGATTTGGCGGCCATTTGCACTTCGACGCCAAGTATAAAAGGCAACCAAAAATATAAACGAATACGAAACTACTCGAGGAAAATCTGTCATGGGGAAGATAATTTCTTCTAAATCAATTAATCTGATATTGTAAGAGTTAAAATGTAATTAATTAACGCTGTTAGATTGTAAGACGTCATGGAAAAGTAAATTTATTCATTTATCTATGAGTATTTTCGCCCCGTCGATTCCTACTTCCAATGAAATCCGAAGGTCAAAGTTCGTAAAACAAAACTTGATTTCTGTTGATTTCTCCGCTATTTATTTTGTTTATGCGAGTAATACACATGCAAATTGGATGTAGTTTGAAGGAAAACATCACTGGAGGAACAATGGTCACGGATATTAACGATTCAAAGCAAGTACTAAGGTAAGGGTCCGATATTGTTCCGAAACCCTTCGGAACATGATATTAAAATTCCGAATTCCGGTATTTTAACAAAAGTCCGCGGTTCGGACCGATTCCGGTCGAATGGCACGGCCCTAATTATAACAAGCAAGATATCCATCCTTTGGAAGTGATGTTTTTCAAGACAAATCGTAAGGTTGCGGTGGCCACTCTTGAAGCATATACTGACTTGGCATATATTTCAAAATATGGACATGTTTGATTTGGAATTACTATGTATTATTCAGTATGCGTGATACCTTCTGGAAAGGACTGGGTTAAAATTGTATACCCTTGATTGATGTATCAGAATTTGTATTAATGTTTAAAACTGAATAGAACTTGATAGCTCAGTCGCAGAGCATCAGACTTTGAACCAGAAGGTCATGGGTTCGATACCCACATGGGGCATTGAAATTAGCACACTCACTTTCAAGTCTACTGGCTTGTTACACTACAGCTTCCTGGAGGCTGAAGATTATTTCGCTTTTCTTCAATGTTTACAATTTAAATAATGTGACAATAATAAAAATATGAAGGTCTTTGCCTTTGGTGACCTTTCTTTAGGCTATATTGACAATATACAGCTGGACAAATTGCAATCTTTCCTATGTTATCTAATAATGGCTACAGTGGAAAGAGGGTCGATGATGTCAGATTCTCTTGAAATTCTGTTCTCGCGAGAGTCAATGGCAGACAACCTGGCATGGGCGATATTCATGTGGAGTTGATCTTTGAGTTAATAATAAACCAAAACAAGAAGATTATTCTAATAAAGGTACTTGTATACTAAACTAAATATATTAAACACCATAGCCCTCGTCAGGAATGTTCCTTTAATATAAAAAATCAGACAAAAGTAAAATTTTACTTTCTGTGGTACATTGATTTTTAAAAAATATGATGTTTCTATTATATTTTGTAAAATATAGATGTCAGTCTAATATCATAAAAATATAAAACACTTTCATCCAATTCTAATGTAAATGTAAAGTAGATTTAATATAAATAAGTTCATATATTATCTTATTAGAAAATTGTAATACTCAACTAGGGGTCAACTTAGGGTCATTCACTTGATATTGTTGATAAGCGAGTTCAATATTTACAGTGAAGTTGAACTTCTCAGTTTTAATCCCCTTTCTGTAGTTTTTGTCACGCTTTTATATGATAAGTAGACTTTGTTTATACTGTGAATGTCATCTTTATTAATTGTTTTAATCTTGTGGTAGTCTGGAACATTAATTTATAGGCCTATTGAATATAATTTTCAGATCCCATTTAATATTTTGAATAAATTCTCAAATTTGAAGTATGAAAAGTAATTATATGCTTGGGTTGATCCTTTAAGTACTTCATACAATACTTCAATTTACGCTTGGCGTGAGCCTTTATTTTGATTTAATTTAGAGACTTCTTATTACTATTTGATTTGGCTAATTTGACAGGATCCCTTTCTCAGATAAACATTAATAGACTGAAATAGACAGTAAATAGACACACATTGTGGCATCACTGCATCCCTATATAATTCCCCGTTTTTTCTTTCTCTCAAAATACTGATGATTATCTGCTTATTTTATCATCAAAAGAACTTTCAAAAGGAGATGACAAATTTAATGTATGATGAGTTTTTTTGTTAATTTTTAATTTTCCCCATTTTCACTGTTCAATTTGATATATTTCTGTAATGTCAAGACTCTGGTTGATTTTGCTCATTGCATCGGAATATGCTTGCCTGCTTGCCTCTATTCAATGAAGTAAGAAGCCTTGATTTTGAACTGTAGCATGACCCTCACTAAGATTTCTCTCAGGGGTTTATTGTAAATTATTATAGGCTTGCCTGGGTTGTTTATGTAAAAGGGTAAACCTTTTTCAACCATGTCACATGTTTTGACCATGTGCCCTGTCTTTAGGGCATTGGCCAGTTAGCCTATTTACAATATCATTTTTCGGTACTGTAAACAAAATAAGGGAAAAACAAATAAAATATCCGTTCATTTTGCTTTCCTATTGTGAATTACCTCATAAAATAAATGTTTGTACTGTCATAATAGTTCATGAATGATTTTCTCTTTCAGGTATGTCATTCGTTAACAGTTTAGTAGAATTCATATAAAATACCGAAGAATAAAATCACCATGTTTACAGTAGATCCATGGTTGTTTGTACTGCTTACTTTCCAATTATTAATAGGGAATAGGATTTTAAGGTGATTTAAAGGTTAATATTATTACAATGTTACACTGAAAGGACTTGGTTAAATGGTTAAAATTGTGCCTTGGAAATCAGATACAGCTGAAATGGGATATTTTGAGTGGATTAGGTGTAACATTGAGCTAATGGGCTCAAAAGGAATGAAATATTTTAGGAGCTTATAAAAATATGAGAAATGTTGTTTGGATTATATTATGTAAAGGGAACATTTAGGTTATGTATCATATGCGAATAGATTTTTAGGGGCAATAAACAGTGTTCAAAAATTCGCGAGGAAATTTTAAAATGGCAAGGGAAAACTTAAGCCAATGTGGACATACAATTTAGAAATACACTCAAAGCACAGAGTTTAAGCAAAGACTTTATCTTTTAAGAAGCCCAATCAAATGAATGGAGGGGTATTAAAATATAAGAGGTATTAAAAACTTAAAAGGTATTCAAATTGAATTAAAAGGAAATCATGCGATTTAGAAAAAGCTGCTAAAATGAATTGAAGACTAGACTAGTATTGGAGGTGATCCTAGTATACGAGTTCATATCCACTCTTGGATGCATGGCATGGTGTAAAAGTCTGGATGTAAAAGAGCAAAATGAATGAATGAGCCAGTCTCACTCAACTGTGTCAATTTACGACTATAAATTACAGATGTCTGAAGGGCAAGGAAATTCAAAACTGATGCCATTAAAAATTTGAGACATTAAAATCATAAAGGAACAAAGAGAAAACACGGTCTTGGTCACCTATAATCAGGTCACCTTCTCAAGCATGGAGGCAAATGGATTGTGTTCAAAATAACCTTGTGATATATTGCTGTGTTGGCTGTCCAGTATAAACCAAGAGACCTTTAGAGAGACACTGTAAAAGTATGAGGAGTTTTTGTATATAACAAAGTTGCAATATGAAGAGAGACTGTTATGGAACATTTAGACAATAATTGCAATTCAAGCCATGATTTCTTGCATTACACCATAGTCCAACAGCATCAGGTATTAGCTTGCTTTTGTTTGTTTGCTTGTTTGTTTGTTTATTTGGTTACATCAGGGCCATATTCTAGGTCATGATTTTATGTTTTATACCATGTTTAACACAACTGTCTTTGTTTTCGTATTTAATTAATTGTAGATTTGGAACTCTTCTCTTGTCTTGCATTAGATTAGTTATGCAACAGAAAAAATGAAAATATAATTCCAACGTAATTTTAAGAAAATACTTCGATTTTGAACTTCCTACTTAAATGTTGAAAAATCAAACTACATGTACTATATATATGTGCTGGTTGAGGCAAAATATGAACAATATTCATAAAGTTTTAACATTTTTAGAGCAAATGGTGCGGAACTTTTGGGTCAACCCTCGCATAATATGATGTAAATATTCACATAAAATTTAAAAGATTTACCTATTTCATTAAATTTTGTAACATGTGATTGTAAGCTAAAAATTACATTGAAATGCTCATCATGCAACTCTGTGCAACTCTCCGGGGGGCATCTACTTTTACCAATTTAAGGTATTTTGAGGTCTAATTAGGTGTTTTTATACAGATCAGCAGAGTTGAAAACCAGACTGACTACAATCAATTAATATGGTAAAATATGTTCAATAGGATAAATAGGCAAATTAGATTTCACAAATATAATATCAGGGGTTTCATTAGCAGCAGCCAGCAGGTGATTTGCACCGGTTGTTTTCACAAAGTCGCCTGTTGTTTTTAGGGACTTTTCCATGTTAAATTTATGACTTCCATTAATTACGCCTGTTGTTTTCATTTATTTAGCCTGTTGTGAGAAATTCTAGTGAGATCCCTGAATATATACAGTATAAACGTTTGCATATTTATGATATAGTTATTTCACTTTGTGTGTTTGCAGGCATACCATGCAGAGGGGACATTGTATGACCAGTCAAACTTTAGTCCTTCAGTGACATCTGCTTGTGAACAGAATAGAACAGTCACAGTCGGGTAAGTTATGTTATTGGTCTATAGAGGGAGGTCCACAGGCCCGTAGCCAGGGGGGGTTCGCAGGGTTCGGGAGAACCCCCCCCCTGGCCAAAAATTCTTTCAAAATCATGCAGTTTTTCACCATTTTGAGCACTTCTCAAGTGATTTTAGCCATATTTGGGTCAAAATTGTCAAATGTGAACCCCCCCTGGAAATTTTTGAAAACTGAACCCCCCCTTGGCAAATCCTGGCTACGGGCCTGGTCCATAACACTTTTTGGAAGAGTTAAGCTCTCTAGGTGAAGCAGTGTTCATTTTGGGGCAAAAAGTTGCAGGAATTTTTGGCAGTCCAAAGTTTTGACCTAATTTTGACCCTGCCCCATGGCCCCTAAAGCTGACACATTGGCGTAAATGGCAACAAACATTCATTTTCTAGGTTCAAATAAAAAGCTAAGAATGATACACCACCAAATTCTACATAAAATACAACTAGTGTCTAGTGTTTCATAAGTGGTGACATTTTGCATGTTAATGCCTTGTTTTTGTCATTTTGTTATGTTAATGTTTTGTTAAGCTCTGTTATGCTGGGCCAATCATAATTTGCACACCTTTCGCATGCTTCTTGTTTAGGAAGTAGATACAAATAATAGTGTTCCACTTGAGAGATGTTATACTAACGGAGGTTCATGATACATTATTTATCCAGGGGGGAGGGGGGTCATGGGACTTAAGCGTTCTTCTTGTGGCTGTACTACTTGGGAGATCACTTACATAGGTCCATTTAACATTAAGTGAGTGTGAAATTGGGCTGAAAAGTGTTCAACTTATGGAGGTGTTCTACTGAATTATATTTACAGAATACAAAACAGACTAATTCCAAAATGTGATAATGTTTATAGGCATGCTGGGGAATAAACAAGGCAGTCATTTTGCTGTTTATTATCATGAATATGTTTCTTGAAAGGATAGATCTATTACAGTGGAATGAATTCGGTTTAGAATGAATGGTTCACCCCTCAGTCCTATGATATGAATTTCAGTTCATTTTAGTAAAATCACCAAGAAATTATTCACGTGTACCTCCCAACTTCTTTGCCCAATTAAATTTTACTGGTTGAACAAATCTTTGATGAGATATGTCTTTTGAGATCATTAAATATTAAGAGTGAAAATATTCAAATGTTGACAGTTGTAAAAGTAGGAAGCTATGCTGTGTAAATCTCCCAAATAATGAGAATATTGATCTGTCTTCTCTTGAATTTTAAAATGATCAACATTCTTCACTTCAAGGGAAAATGTTCAAATTTACTTCGGTCCAAAGCCTTCTCTATATTCCGGCTTTGAGGAGGAAGATTGAGCTGCCTTAGTATTATAAATATTGTAAATCATGGCTTTGTATAAAAAACCTCCTACCCACGTACCCTCGTACCCACGTACGTGGGTCCTGACCCAGTCTTTAAAGAGTTAAATTTTTAAATGTTTAAAACATTATTCAATCTCAGTTTATCCTGAATTATAGATGAATTTATGCATCCATATGCCTTTATTTATAGGTCTGACATCTCTCTAGTAAAATAAAATAAAGCCGGAATTGCATAAATGTTCCGATTATTTTTGAGCTATTTGATTTATGTTTTTGATATGTCGAAATGTTTTTTGTTGATCGGGCAGTCTTACCTGTATAACACATCAGTGCTGATTAGCAATCTCCTAGCCTTCGTTCAGTGCAATCCGTGCCTCCTGTTACCTCATGCAGATTGTAAATGTCCCGGGAAGTTTACCCTTGTCCAAAAGTTGACATCTTTTTAAAAATATATTTCTTAGAGTTTCCAACCAATTAAATTCACCACATTTTATTAGATGTTTATTTCAAATGTTATTAGAATTCATTCTTACGAATATTATACGTTATTAACGTATGTTAGTCAAAGATTTGGTGTCGTTGTTGTCCATTGTATTCACATTTTACGCGCAAAAAGCTAGAAACTACAAAGCTGAACTTTTATCATTCAAACCAGTTTTACATCAAATCATTGTCAAAATAAAACTCTACTCTTCACTATTACCTAATTATGGATCAAACGGCCATGAATAATGTCGAAGTTTACATAACCAAACTTACACTCCCCTGCATAAGTTTGGCAACTCTAACTTTTAATTCCATCTAAATGATTCACTGAACTAGTGCGCACAATTATCCTTAAATTGTGCCAAAAAGCGATTAAAAACGAATATAGCGAATCCTTCTACTTTTCAAATATTTCGTTATTCAATTGCGCCACGGTTAAACAGAAATGCAGCCTTTATTATTCCTTGAGATCGTGTGAATTGATCACTCTATCACTTTTTATCTCCAATTCTGATGTTAAATTAAATAAAAGACATAAGACAAATTACACGTATAGTTCAAATCTGTCGTGCAAACAATGAATACTTGGTATATCGTTTGAAAGAATAAAAAGTATATGTGATAAAAATCGAAACTACAGGGTGTTAAAAAACAGGACCGATGAAAAGTTGAATAACTTCGTCAATCCAGAATCATTCAGGTCATTCAATGTGAATTTTGTTGTGAAAGTTTGACCATATTCTGCTCATGGAGTCAAAAACTACAGCACTTTACAACACATGCCCCATGTGGCCAATTTGCGCCAAGCAATAGATTGGTTGTACACTGTAAGACTGCCCGATCAACAAAAAATCGCTTCGATATATCAAAAACAACACTCAAATAGCTCAAATGAACATTATGCAATGCCGGCTTTATTTTATGACGAGACAGATGTCCGATCTAGAAATAAAGGCATATGGGTACATAAATTCATCCATAATTAAGCATACATTGAGATAGAATAATGTTTAAAAAATGTTAAAGATTTAACTCTTTAAAGACTGGGTCAGGACCCACGTACGTGGGTACGAGGGTACGTGGGTAGGAGGTTTTTTATACAAAGCCGTAAATCATTGTGTCACACGCACAGTAAATATGGCATAATAATATGAAATATACCTTTATGTATAGATTTGAAGAACATCAGCTCACATCCCCGTCTGAATCTATTGTTATATTTGATTTCTTTAAGCGAGAATAATTTCAAATGTTATTCACGTCCAGAACCGGAAGCCATTTTTAGCTACAGCGAGAAAATTTCACCATGTGTCAAAACTCCGAAATGAAATTTTGAAATATCTAAATCCAGACAAGCAACGCTCCATCCTAAATATGATTAATATTCTTAAAAATATTTATAAAATTTATTAAAAATGAGTTCTAGGTGCGTGTAGGTGCGTGTAGCACAGTACATACGAAATCAATGAAGTTTCGTCTAGCTGTAAGCTAGAGACTCGAGTAAGTTCAAATGTTGACAGTTGTAAAAATTAGGAAGCTATGCTGTTTAAATCTCCAAAATAATGAAACTTGAAAATATTGATCTGTCTTCTCTTGAATTTTAAAATGTTGTCATTTACTCTCTCTCAATACTGACACTAACTTTGCATCATGAGAAATTATGGCCTTCTATTAGCTTCACACTAGTATATTTCTGGTTGAAGACAGAAAACTGTGATGAGTATCAGAATGCTAACTTTCTTAGTCCACAACTGTTGCCAATTAACACCATATTGCTTGTTTATATTCATGCATGCAATAACTATTGATCCCATTATATGAGCTCATGTGACATCTCATGTCATGTTTATCACTGATGTAAAACTGATATACCCAAGAGGAGGGAAAGCCCCAGAGTTTCAAGATGACAGACATAATTACCTCTCTTGCTTACCACCTTCGTTCGTTCGAATTTTCATCGGCTAATTATCAAATTCTACACTTCGATGGGATGTTATAATTGATATAGGCATATTCCGTACACCTTTCTTTATCTTGATGTGAAATGAGAAGCTATGATATTGGTTAACACGCCAGAAATGAACATAATATTATTCGAAGCGTATTTCGAAAATTTTGAAACCGCCATTGATGACGTCATTTGTTTGTCGACTTTTGACCAATCAGCGACCGTGTCATCTCAATACAGATTTACATTATAAGCGTATGTCATCTTTGAACCCTGGTGTTTCTCCCCCTCTGGATATACCCCATGGGCTTTTAAAATAAGATCCTTGTTTGATAATTCACTGTTATCAGTTAGCTGTCAGGTGCAAACAATTGACCTTTCCTTGGTTTCAAAACACATATTCTGTTTTTTCCCCAGGATTTTTCCCAGGTGGGTGCAAAATTCTTAATTTCACAATTTAAACCAAATTTGGTCAAAATATGCCTAATTTCATGATTTTTTCATTTTCAAGTAGGTGCAAATTAATGCTCTTGTCGATTATTAAAATCTCAATTTGATGAAGTGGCCATTTTCTTTAATGTTCGGGAGATCATTGCATGTTTTTGTAAAATGGAAGATGGTGATGGCTCAGATTGTTTAGATTTGGGAAAGATATTCTGAGGTAACAATCCCAAAGGTTAGCTGCACATATGAGAAATAAGACATCTTTGCTTTGTCTGTCTCTCATATTGGTATGGATGTTCATAGATGGCACTCTTGAATAAAATTGATAGTCCACAAAATATCATGTTATAGGAGAGACCCATAAATGCATGGTGGACAATTTATGCCATAATTTTTGCCAAAATGACATTAAATAGTTAAAAAGCTGTAAGATAACTCTCATTTTCTCATGCTTTTAGGGTGAAGTTATCCAAGGCTGTCTTAGTTGGAGATGTTGCTGTTGGAAAGACATGCTTTGTTAATAGGTAAGAAAACCCTCAAACTAAAGATTGTATTTAACAAATGAATTGAAAATGTCACCAGCAGTTTCTTAATTTCCATTGATCTCCATTGTTTCATCAATAGATTGTTCAAGTCATCTTTGATTGTAACTGGCTCTGTATTAGCAAATGAAGAATATGTTTTGTTATATTCAGGTTCTGCCATGACATATTTGATAGGGACTACAAAGCAACTATAGGAGTAGACTTTGAAGTAGAGAAGTTTAGTGTGCTCGGAGTGCCATTTAACCTACAAATGTAAGATTTTCAAAATGTCATTTCAACCCTATAATTACATTCCTGGATAATAAATAAATCCAAAATAAGTAATTATGTAGACTTAATATACCATTCAAAGGATTGCATGAGACCCCTATGTGGTATGGATTTTGATGACATAGAAATTGGACTGTCAAATTCTCTACCCAGGGACCAGTGTAGTGAGCCAATTTCCCCACACTGGGTGCAATTATAGTCTAAATTCTGATTACGGGGATTAAGCATTTCAAAAGTTCCTACCCTGGGACAATACTTATATCAAGTTCCCAACTGTGTGGGGAGTTTCACGCAAACATTTGAATGGAAATTTAAAGTAGTCACTTTGACAGTCATGACAAGTATTAGCAAAGATCGTAAGAAAATCTAAAGTTCCTTATTAGAGGCAATATGTCATACAATGATATGTAAATATACATTCAAGAGATTCTTCAAATATTTCTTACTTCTTCCTTTATGTTTTAGCTGGGATACTGCTGGTCAGGAAAGGTTTAAATGCATAGCTGCTTCCTACTACAGAGGTGCTAATGGTAGGTACATCCGTCAATAGTTATTTTAAAGCATGTAAACTCGCAGTTTAAATGCATAGCTGCTTCCTACTACAGAGGTGCTAATGGTAGGTACATCCGTCAATAGTTATTTTAAAGCATGTAAACTCGCAGTTTAAATGCATAGCTGCTTCCTACTACAGAGGTGCTAATGGTAGGTACATCCAACAATAGTTATTTTAAAGCATGTAAACTCGCAGTTCAAATGCATAGCTGATTCCTACTACAGAGGTGCTAATGGTAGGTACATCCGTCAATAGTTATTTTAAAGCATGTAAACTCGCAGTTCAAATGCATAGCTGCTTCCTACTACAGAGGTGCTAATGGTAGGTACATCCGTCACTACAGAGGTGCTAATGGTAGGTCAATAGTTATTTTAAAATATGTTTAACTCACGAACATCTTGAATTTGCTTATGTTTGTTGGAGTTGAATATTGCAATTCAGGATAAAATCGTAAACCTGGCACAAACTGAGGCGCTTGCAAAAATGGTGAAAACCTGATTAAGTAAAAAGAAACAAATGTAGAAATTTGCAAAAATTACCTCATGAATTCAATATGTTTTACAGTTTTATAAATCATATTCAAATGCTATTGTACATTGACAGAATTAGAATGGATAGAGTGAAAATGTTGGAAACAATCTTTACAAAACTCATACCACTTTTTTCTTTATAATTCTAATTTTATTTTCTAAAAACAAGAATTTAGATATTGGATCAAATAATAGATTGAAGATGCATAAATGTTTTTTCGGCAGTGATATTATTGATTAATATTTCTTTAAATTAGCTTTTTGAAATTTATTTTTTCAGTTGTGATAGTTTGCTTTGACATGAGCAACATTCATTCCCTGACACACGTGCAAAAGTGGAAAGAGGACGCGTGTGATAATGCCAAAGATCCCATAGTATTTTTAGTCGGTACCAAGAAAGATTTAATTGTAAGTACAATAGACTAGATACGAGATGAAACAATCTTGATTTACATCATTGAATGTTTAAAATTCAGTCAAAGTGATATCATATTTGAAATCTACATGTACCAGTATAAGTACTTACAGAAATTTGGTTTTAAAAATTGTTTATCAACTTTGAAAATGTGACTTCTAGGTCGGGGCGACTCCCCATAGACCCAATGTTATAAAATCATAGAAAGTGAAATATCTTTTCTTTTATTGGACAGATAATATTTTGTTTTACTGGACATATTTTCATTTGTACAACTATCAGATACATGAGGATAATATGAAAATTGATCCACTAGAACTGATGAACATTCAAGTTTAAGGGAACTTTCTAATATCCCTGCCATGTTATCTGTGCCAAATTAGTCACCTGGTGGTGAAAGTGCTAACTACCTACTTGCATCTGGGTTATTGGATTCTTCAATAGTTTGTTATTTATCGAGTCTGAAATGTTTTGCTAACTCATTTCTGACGCGGGCTCAATCAACCAATAAGAGAGCAAAAAGATCACCAAAACAAAAGGAATTCTCCATAAATACAATTTATGTTTTCATTTTGAATGTGTACATATGTATTGAAGAGAGAAAGGCATTTGATAACTGAAATCAAGTGCCATTTACTATGGTAACAACACATTAATGAACAGATGTATGTGATTTTAGAATGAACATACTTTCTTAGATGTGGAAAGGAAAGCAATAGACATGGCAACTGAAATCCAAGCAGAATTCTGGCCAATATCTTCTAAGACAGGTTGGTATAGAAACAGTGAAATCATAACATCTCAGAGTTTGAGATTTTATAAAATTCCAAATGGTCAGTTACTGAGAAACATCTATTTAATTACTCAAAACCTATTGGCTGAGAAATACTTGCTTTGGTACATTTGAACCATTCTTTTGTTTTTGTTTAATGAACTATCTTACATATATATAAAATGGTAAAGCCATAAGATATGTGCTGGGTCTGTGTGTCGAATTTGGTATTCTTTGTATTTCTATTTCATTTGTAAAAACGGGTTACAGCAAATCACTTGTATCCTTGTATCCTTGTGTAGTGAAAATGTATATTGAGAAAAAATAAAAATAAAAAAAAAATAAAAAAAAAAGATATGTGCATAAGACAGTGAATGCCTGTTTACCATTCCCTTCATGTACTCTCATTCCATAATCACTGTGACTGACATCGTGTAATGTCATTTTAGAAGTACCAACATCAATTACATTATTTCTTGTATTCTTTGTTATTTCTTGTATTTTTTGTTATTTCCAGGAGAGAATGTAAAGGAACTGTTCTTCAGGCTGGTTGGATTGACATTTGATAAAGCCGTCCTCGATGAATTAGATGCAAATAAAGGACCAAGTAAACAAATAGGAACTATATGTAAGTGTTTTATGCATTATGTATGCATTCTCCAAATACAGTGACACTAGTTATCACTCATTGAGTTTTTTGTCCCTGCACTTGGAGCATGAAGACTAAATGAGGATAAATGTTTTTAATGATATAAAAAGAAATATGCGCATAGGTATCCACCTAATTCATCTTTGCCGTCAAGATATTAACAAAAGTGGCAACTGACTAACCTTTGCAAAAACAATCAAATATAGCATACCACAGTTCCAAAGACAATGAAATGGTCAAGTCTTTGAGAAAGAATAACTTATAAATTTTATGAAATCCCAAAATTGTTATCTTGTTTCAGCCATATCAAACAAAGATGTTTACGAGAAGAAAGAAAAGAAGAAATGCTGCTGATCCTTACAAAAATTACAAACAACAACAAAAAACAAACAGCTGTCAACAGTTCCAACATATCAACAATAATATGGCTGCCAATACAACATATCAACAATAATATGGCTGCCAATTCAGCATATCAACAATGATATGGCTGCCGATTCAACATATCAATAATGTGGATATCAATGCATTTTGGTCTGTTGACTGTCAGTTCACTGTGCTTTATTGACTGCAAATGGAACATATCAACAATAATATGGCTGCCAATTCAGCATATCAACAATAGTATGGCTGCTGATTCAACATATCAATAATGTGGATATCAATGCATTTTGGTCTGTTGACTGTCAGTTCACTGTGGTTTATTGACTGCAAATGGAACATATCTGATTCAGCAATAATATGGCTGCCAATTCAGCATATCAACAATGATATGGCTGACGATTCAACATATCAATAATGTGGATATCAATGCATTTTGGTCTGTTGATTGTCAGTTTACTGTGGATTATTGACTGCAAATGGAACATTATCAACAAAACTTGCCTGCTATTGCTAGGTCACTGTGGTCTATTGACCAGGGAAAAGCATGAACACTGGTGGTCCATTGTGCCATTGGAGTTTTACCAAAAAACAATTTGTTATTTCAGAAAGAGTGGATTTAATGGAAATAACAACTTGTGAAGTCAATTCGGTCCGTTAATTCAATTATGACTGGAAGACTGAAATCCATGTAAATAATGATGTGAGTTAAAATGGAATCGCTCAAAATTATGTGTTATCACTCAAAATCATATCACTCAAAATGATGATGTCATACAAATTCATATGATTTCACTCACATTTTACAATATTTATTTATACCTGTACATCAATTAACAAAGTTAATTAAGAAGACGAGATTTATTTGTAGACGTTTGGGATACTTTAGGTTCTTTCATTCTCAATCAGGAAAATAGGTGAGGATTAATTAATGCACTGTAGTACTATCGATATTTAGAGTAAATCATGGGTTTAGGATTTTTAAAGTTAAAGTTGAAATCAGGATTCATAATAGAATATATCTTTCTAATAAATCTTACTGCCTTTGATTGCATGTAAGAAGCTACATGTATGTAATATTGACCAGATTTGTGATGTCATCGGTTGTAGGTGTTAATTTTTAATACAAACACAATGCTAAGAAGTTTACCAAAATTAGCAAGACATTTATCCTCGTTTTAATATTGCAAACAATATTTTTTGTACTTTTCGGTATGGTAACAGATGACAAGGTTTATTAGAAGGTCTAATAAGATCCACTTTGTGTAATGGGCCCCTGGGTAAACAGTTCTAGCTTGTCAATATGTAAATGACTGCAAAGAATACTCAATTGTGACAAGTTATGTCAGTATCATAAAAAGACTAATCCAGGGTTCCATTACTAATGTACATGTACCAGTGATTGCCCAATACTCATTTTCATATTTGGAAACTTTTAGTCCCACAGCTTTGTAAAGTGTAATATCATTTATATTCCTAGCACAATTGTCACAGGGTCAACATTTCAAATTCCAAGTAGCCTACAAGTCAGGATTACCAAATTGTTGAACGACGTAAATGGGTAAAATAGATGCTTGGTTGATTGATTGGTTAGATGGTTGATTGATTGATTGGTTAGATGGTTGGTTGATTGATTGGTTAGATGGTTGGTTGATTGATTGGTTAGATGGTTGGTTGATTGGTTGGTGTAGGTGAGATCATATGATGCCACAGTTAAGTAGCCGCATCAACTATATGTACACCCATACCTGCACTTCAGGCCCGTAGCCAGGGGGGGGTTCGATGGGTTCAAGCGAATTTTCAAAAAGCGAACCCCCCTTTGGCAAATCCTGGTTACGGGCCTGCACTTGGCATTTGAATTTACTCAAACAACCAATCAGTGTTAAAACATAAGAAACAGCTAGTATATTGGAGATTTGAATCATAACATTCAGTCCGTCCATTTTACATTAGGACATACTAATTACATATACAGTGTGTTCAAATTTTTTGCAATTTTTATTATTTTCCCGAACAAGGCCAACTTTGATATTATCATTTTTGTTTTCTAGAACACTACATGTATTTTTAAAGTGGCAATGAAGGATAGACACAAGTGGAATGTAATTTTTTTTTAGATTGTCTGTTATGAATTTTGAAAGATTTTGATCAAATCAAAAGTCCCGACTTTATTCATGATCGCAGATACCAGACCTTGTTTTAAGTTTATTTGGTAAAAATTCTGAATAACTGGACTTTCACTTTTTTCAATTTAGTTAATGGTGACATTTCTCCATCTTTAATTTTTCCCATTGATCAGAAATCTTTAAATCTTTTTCCAGATATTTACATGTGTATTTATTGAAAAGATTGCTTCCCAACCGTTACATTCTCTGTCCTTTGTTGTCCCTTTATAGAATGTTATTCCTGAAAATATTATTCAAGTAGAAACTTATAGGAACTGAGTCTTGACATTCACGCAGAGCTTGTAATTTTATGGCTTTTAAAATGTATAAAACACATGCTATGACACTCATACTCTCGTTTGCCTCTTATATATACATATATGAAAACAGTTTATATACGTAGTATATCATTAAAGCACATAAGTACATGTTTAAGAACATTGTATGTTTTTTGGAAAAAAAATACGAGGGGTGTTTCATAAGTAAGTGGATTGATACTGTAATTTTATCAATACACAAGTAAACTTCACAAATTGTGTCACTTATTTTAATTATTGAATTAAACAAAGTACAAATGAAATTCAAAGATTGATAAATGTTGGAGCTTCAGTCTTTGTACTTATTGGACAGCCCTTGTATACTTGTGAAGTACAATTATTAGTTTTGTGCAAATACCGTAGCTTACAGTATGAAAATTGGCAAAACAATGATTGATGCAGTACTTGTATGTATGTAAATATGCACATATAAACCAATAATATATGCTTTCAGTCAGAAATTTGAAACTATATAGATTGATAAAACCAATTGCATGTTATAAAAATGTACATGTAAATAGTATGAATTCATGAAATGAAAAATATTTTAATTACTACATTATGCAATTTACATGCTTGACTGTTTGTATATATAGGCTTACTAGTACATATAGACTGAATAAATGATGGATGAAGGCTTCTTTTACATGTTGTTTTAATACTGTAGATAACATATTTTATCTTATGGCTCTCAGGCATAGATATTGTACATGTACATTATTTGTGTGAGGACTTTTAGAGGACATTATTACACAAGTGTCAAGTAAAAAATCTGAATGCTCAATTTAACAAAGTATACATGTACATATACAGGGTTGGCCATCCATTTTAACTTTTTTGTTAGTCACGTATTATCTTCAATACTTTTAGGAAATTGAAAAACAAATTCATTGCCATCAGCTTATGTAAAGATCAGTATACAAGCTCAACATTTAATTGCTCTATGCAAGGGTTTCCTGAAGATGTCATCCACCCACCTGAACAATCGGGGCTGTAGAGATAACTACATTATGTTTTAATTGATGGGAATTGTGATAAGCCATTTGAAGGGCACACATTGTATGGTATGAGATACTGTATTTTCAGCAATAATGTCTAAAGCAGAGAAAACTTTCAAAAATAGTCACTTTTTCATTATCTGAATTTTTGTACCCTTTGCATTCACTTCTTAAAAGAGAGCTTCGTCTTCAAGACTCTACACGCAGGGTAGAATTTTTGTGGATTGAACTGCAATAATAGAGAAAATTGAATAAATAGAAAATATATTCCAATTTTTATTGTACAAGTAGTTTTGAATCATGAAATTAAGTTTTGAATGGTGCATGTTTTAAACATTATAGCGTCTGTAACAGAATAAAACTTGTAATATGAATATGAATTCATTTCAATTCACATAAAAATGCATAATCAAAATGGTAGATATTTTTGTGGCAATAATAATTAATGATTAAAGCCACCCTTTTCTACCTAAGCCAGTTCATCACGCAATCAGTTCCAGGCTTCCTAGACTTCCAAAAACGCGGTTATCTTGCTCCTTCCTCTCGAACCACGTTCTCACAATGCGAATCTGTGTAAATATGTGTATTCACTAATTGTGCATGGGGGACCCCAAAAAACAAGCCAAAAATAAGATTTATCTTGAATTTGACCAAAATTTATGCAACTTCCTTCAAAGTTGAGCTAGAAGCTCCAAATAAAAACACCCATTGCACCCCCCCCCCCCTGGATACGCCCATGCTACTGATTCAGGATGTGCCGATCGCCGAGCTTAACATCAATATTTAGGAAGATTGGAGCTGTTAGAAGATATGCCAACGTGATAAGTGTGAAATTTGGAGTTTACATGTGGCACCAGACCTACATGTAATACTCCCTCTTGGGGGTCATAGCCACTACTACCTGTAAAAATGTTACATTGATTTCAATAATAAAAAATGTCTCCACTTTCGGTGACATAAAATTAATTGAATTTTTGATGATTTAAAAAACTATTTATCGTTCATCATCAGGATATTGCTACAGATTTATCTGACGCAGTGTGAGGCATCTGTTTATCTTACGCAATGATTTGTCGTGATACTGGTACCGTCATATTTTGGCGAGCAACAACTCATTGGTATATTTGTATTTTACACCAAAAGACAATGATGGATAAAATAATCGGGTGATTTAATTAATTTATTTATTCATATATTAGCAACAAATAACAATAAACGGGTGACACATAATGTACACTATATTGGAATTCCCGTGTTATACGGTAATACATGAACAGATTGGGGATCTGTACTTGTGTCATACATATAATAATGTACTATTTGTCTCTGCTTTTCAATGTGTCATATTTGGCCCACAATCTATCAATAAAATAATACTTTACAATTCGTTCTTCAAAATGAAGTTGCTTCATGATGATTTCATTTCCTGATAATTCTAAATTATTGGTGCAGTGAAAGACAACTTAAATTGTATTCGCGAATGCAACTAACGGCTGTCGGCTACCGGATTAACCTACTGTTTTATTGGCAACTCATTTAAATTTGAATAGCACCTGTCACTATTCCATTTATATCTAAATGAGTTGATCATAAAATAGTAGGTTAATCCGGTACCCGACAGGCGTTAGTTGCATTCGCAAATACAAGCTTAGCTTAATTACCATTACCATATTTTAATTACCATATTTTACCATTACTTCGGGCTTGTCATAAGAACACTTATTCCATGTATTGTAATTATGCAAATTCAACACTCTTTGTGTGCTCTTGTGTGTATATAATAAAAGGTAAATTCTCTTTTTGCAACATTTTGGCATAACACGGTGCCCATGTCAAGCTGCGCGCCTACTTAGGCGCGCAGTTTGTTTCGATCACAAACTGCGTGCCTAAGAACATTGGATCATTTAAGTTGGAGTCTGTATTTTGAAACGTTATTTAAAGACATTTATCCTGCATTGTTTTCTTGTTCAATGCGTTCATTCTGTGGCGAATATACGAATCTTGCAAATACTAGCAAAAACTGTGTGCAAATGAATCTTAGTTTTAAAACATAAGCAGATTAATGGCATTTTCGTCACTGATTTAATGGGAATTTATACGTAAATCGATCTAGCACTTTAAACATAAATGACAAATACTTTAGACTCGTTTTATATTTAATTCCTTACACATTTATCATGTTTAATTCAAAATATTTCGAAATAAAACAGATAATCAGGAGATTAAAAGAAATAAACCACAAACTGCGCGCCTATTTTAGCCAGAAATTACAATCTGTGCGCATACACTATTAAAATTACATATTATCATTGGAATTTCTACAGAGGTACGTGTAGGTGTTTTCGATGTAGCTTTGGAAATTTTGCTTTATCGTCAGATTTTATGAGATTTTCATATTGAAAGTCAAAATGTATAATAGAAGTGACAATTAAGTTGGGAACGAAAAAAACATTTATTTTCAGATCACCATCTTGGTGGATGGACTCTCATAGTGTTTCAATTATGGGGTTCTACTATTAGACACATATGTGCCTTGTATGGCGCTTATGTTTTCTAATAATACAAAACAAGCTTGGATAGGCAAGCAGTTTTGAAATATTAGGCACGCAGTTTGGGAAATACATGTGAATATAGGCGCGCAGTTTGACAAGAAAAATGTTTAAAATTAAATCACGTTTATGGCGTATTATCGTTTTGAACACAAACTTTGCTGTTTTAATCAGATGGAGTGATCCTATATATTCTAGCATACACAGACACAATGGCTGAATAAACGGCAAATGACGATAAAAAGACATAGATATAACTTTACACTGTAAATTTTGAACACAGAAGTTACTTAAGACCCTTATATTGAGATAACTAGGTTTACATCGGGAAAAACATTGAGTACTTTGAGTAAATTAAGTTCATCTTCACAGAATGGTACTATCTTTAGAACGAGACTAACCTTGTATTTTTCGTATTTTGGCTCTTTTTGGGAGTCGTGTCCTCCCCGTCTCACATTTTGAAATATGCGTGCAGTTTGTCAGAGTTTCAAACTGCGTGCCTAGTTTGTTACAAATTATAATGGAAAATGAATCACTCTAAAATTATTAGCATTTCTTTAATATGACTGAATGTGATTTGAGGTGATTGACTCTCTCATAATAATGACTGACAGTTCTGTTAGATGATTGACAGCTCACTTTGAACAACTAATTTTATTCAAAGATATTTTAGCTTGATAGCAACATGTTGCATACTATTGTATAAATTGAAATAGAGAACAAAGAGTTTAAAGCTCGATAGCAAAATGTTGCACCCCATTGTATGAATGAAAAAGAAAACTTGATTAAAAGATAGATTTGAAAGCTACATAACAAAGCCTCTATTCTTATATTTTGAAACAGTGGCAACACGTGTCCATGATATCTGATATCTTGATAAACTAGTCATAAATCGGGAAGGGGTACTATGTTTAATAAAGCTTAAAATCACACCACTCTTCACTTGATCATCTTTGAATAAAGTCACAATTTTAAAGTTGAGCACAATGTTAATGTTTCTAATAATAGGAACATTACTATATCTGGCACCTTGCATAAGGTGTGAAGGTGAGTATATCTGTGCAAAGAATACGAAACAAAGCAATTTCAGGATTCATATTGATTATTTGTTTCATTCTAGATTTAACATGCTACAGTGGGATTTGTTCCAATTGGCCTTATACAATAAATTGCATTCAGGATTCACATTAATTATTTGACAATATCATGCATTCAAGATTCACATTAATTATTTGTTTTATTCTAGATATATGTGATAGTGGGATCTGTCCCAATTGCCCTGATACAATAACTGCTTTCAGGGTTCATATGAAACATTATTTGTTTTATTCTCTATATAAGATGCAATAGTGGAATTTGTCCCAATTACCCTTATACAATAACTTGCTATCAGGATTTATTTGTTTTATTCTAGATATAACTTGCGATAGTGGGATCTGTCCCGATTGCCCTTTCACAATAATTTGCTCTCAGGATTCATCTGCAACACCAAGCTGTGATTGTTCAAGCTGTGGATGCCTACAAGGTAGGTTAATCTAATAATTTCATAATCAATTTTTATCTCTTTGTTTTTAACTTTATAACATTTTAAAAAATTACACAATATCCTGACAATGATTATAATTCAAAGCTTACATCTCCATGCCTGCAACTCTATCCCATTGAGACGCCTTTCAGCCATATACCACTCCCATGTCATCAGCCAAGTTCCACCTTCTTTCAGTATGACTCTCACACATCTTCCCAGTCATGTCATTTACATCTCCATGCCTGCAACTCTATCCCATTGAGAAGTCCTTTAGTTAAATACCACTCCCATGTCATCAGCCAAGTTCCACCTTCCTTAAGTATGACCCTCACACATCCTCCCAGTCAAATCATTTACATCTCCATGCCTGCAACTCTATTTCATTGAGAAGCCTTTCAACCATATACTAGTCCATGTCATCTGCTAAGTTCCTCCTATATCTTTCCTAAGTATTACCCTAACATCCCCCTCCCCCCATTCAAGTCATTCACTGTTAATGCCTTTTTGTGTTGCAGGTCAGCCTAATCTTTGCAATACTCAATTTATTATCAGGGCTGAAACCATCTCCATTACATACACTTCAGATGATATAACAAACACAATCGTTGTAAGTATTAACTAGAAAAACAGCAATTCCAGAGTGTAGCAATTCCCAATTATACAAAACATCAAGTTAATGTTACAGATGCACCAGTAAATATCTCCATTACATGCAATTTTAGTGAAACGCAAGTATTAACTTGAAAAGAGAAACTTGACAGTGTAATAAATCCCAAACATAAAACATCAAGTAAATTTTATGTACAACCACTCATGGAGAGCTCCATTAGCTATACTTCTACGGTTTAGCATTGTATTTTATAACAACTTTATTTTTGTATTCAGTAGTTAGTTTAGCCTTAGGTCCGTTTTGTAGATTGTAGGCTTAGTTTTTTAATGCCTAATTGTAATGACATCAGAGAGTCAATAAAATATATATATCAGTATTATTGAAGTCATTTTTATGGAAATGGTAGCAGGGTTCTCTGTTTAGGTCACCCTACTTACAATTATATTCATAACTTCTTTTTATAGGGAAATGACGCAGATAAGGCAACAAAATTAACAACAACTCTTTTCAATCCAACTGGGATCAGGTATAACTTATGGCGGGAGTATTTGAATTAAGAAAACTGCTATTTCCTCACTGATTTGGGTTCATGTGAGGCAAGGAAAGCTGAAGTGCAAATCATCAATAATCATCTTACAACTATCAATGAAGACATTAATTTTTTCCAATCCGTGTTAGATGTACTTGAACAATCTGTGGCTGATGAGGATTTGGCGCTAAAAACAAAAATACAAGGCTCTATCCAGTTCTATGAAGATTTAAAACAGTATCTAACATATAAATTAACAGTATTACCTATTGGTATGTGTCATTTTACAAAAAAAAAGATTTTAAAAATTCTAAAAACTACGGCAAATCAGTTAAAATGTGATACTTCACAAATAAAAAATAATCAAAGATCATATGAGAGTAAAAGAAATTCCTGTATTGAAAACTATATGTTTTTCAGCTTCAGTTAATTGATTTCATACGATGTGTGCATAAATGGAGTGTCATTTTATCAGTCTCTTCCTTTGTATACTTCATGGTAGCTTTGTACTGTTGAATGATAAAAAACAGGTTGAAATACATTTTGAAATACTTTTTTGGTTTGCACTCTTACTGTTCTAAGATTTGAATCCTCATCTTCAACATATACTTAAATTTGAATAGTTGTATAATTTCCTACAATGTTTCAGGTTACGAATGTTTTGATGACAGTAACTGTCCGAACGTTTGTGTTGATTGTGTATGCCATAGGTGCAGGGATAACGCCGACTGTGCAAATGAGCCTGGTAAATATTTAGAAAAACATGTATTTCCTTTATTGTGTATGCCATAGGTGCAGGGATAACGCCGACTGTGCAAACGAGCCTGGTAAATATTTAGAAAATACTATTTGAATAGTGATACTGATGTTCTTTTGTCTAAGGTAGTACACAAAGTCATCATGCGATTTACATCTGGTTTGTTTTATCTGAAGGGAAATAGATTATTTAAAGATAAGATGAATTTTCATGTAGATTGAATGATTATTTCTGACAAAAATTATTGCAAAGAATGTGACCCCAAAATCCATTTAAGGGTTAACTTCGGACTGACTTTTGTGTGTCCCACATCACTTGAGACTAAATTTTACTGTCTATAAATATCTTTGATGTTATGAGCATGGTCAGTTCTTTTCAATTTCTCTTATCGAATGATTGCCAAATAAAAAAAGTTATCAAGACTCTGAATTTGACTCCGACTCCCAGTTATAATTAAATGGTGTTTTTAAATCTCAAAAAGCGATGTGATGATATCTCAATATTAAGTCATTGGTGCCTAAAAATGAATTGAAACTCACAGATTGGATTCAAAAGAAATTACTGCTAGTCATCGAAAGATGAGGACCTCTTATAGTCTAAGGCTAGATTAATTCAACATTCGGACACCAATTGGCGAGGGTACTTCTGACACTCCATTTCAGTTAATAATTTGGATTTTAACATTAGCGAAGAAAATGGATAGAGTGCCAGCCTTTTTTGCAGTCAGAAAGTATTTTGACCTATTTTTGAGATATCTGTGTTGGTCTACAAAAACGTTTTTTAAGTTCAACGATATCTAATATGAGATTTTCAGACTATTTCGAGTCTGAAGTCGAATATTCGGTTCAGAAGCTTTGATCTTTTGATCTCTAAAAAGGTGATACGATGATATCCCAATGTTGCAAAATGCAGACCATGGTTGGTGGGTACAGTAAGTAGAAATCTACCTAGGTCTAGGTGGTAAATTAAACAATCCTTGACCGATCAGTGCACTCTTATATAATTTATTTTGCTTGCTGAGCTCTTTCAATAACTGCTGGCCTTTTTCTCTGACACATGTACATTCATATTCATTCATACACACAAAATTATCCTTTTCAGGCAAACCAAACTGCAGACCAAACCAATCAGGCGTGACGATATGTGGAGATCCTCATATAAGCCAATCTATAACAGGATCAGACAAGAACTTTTGCTATGACTTTATTGGTGAACAAGGGAAATCTTATTTATTTCTGGATGATTTTGGAATTGGTGAGTATATTGGGGGTCATTCAATAACTTCTTATATGAACTGTTCAGAGGATTTGTATTTATTGAACAACTTATTTAATAAGAGATAAAATACTGAGATTTTCGAAAGTCATAAGGGATGGGAATTTCAAGCGTAGGGAAAATAAAATTAACTTACTTTTTCATTATTGAGTAGTCAAAATGTTTTATCCTGACAAATGGTTGCAAACAGATTTTCAACAGCGTGTTAAGTATTTTTCCAATTTCCAACTGTTTGTAGCACTTGATAGTTTTAAAACTGGGGAGATAGATGATCAATTGACCATGTCGGTTCTGTACAAGTGTATGTTATTTAAAAATACAGGACTAAAGATGTTTTGTCTATTATGCAAAATCCAAATATGTTGACCGTTTATATTTCAGAAAGTGTGACTTAATAAGCTCAGTAAAGGACACATTAAATTATACCTTTGTTTTCAGAAATTGTGGCCAAGTTCAGTAAAGGGAATAAAAAATTATATCTATGTTTTAAGAAGTTGTGGCTAAGCTCAGTAAATGGGATAACAAATTTTATTTTATTACAGAAATTGCGGCTAAGCTCAATAAACAGTCTATGGCATGGGCCATTTTCCACCTCATATTTAGGTCATAGCTTCCATGGGAGAAAGGCCCAAATGACCTAATTCCATGACCTTAACTAAAATTGTAAAATGGCCCGACCTGATTCACTCAATTAAACAAAACACGATTATACAAATTGAGTGTAGATTACTCCTAGTACATGAATATTTCAATATTGTTGAATCTAGTTATACAGTAAAATTGCAATAGTTGTATATTCATACAAAATTTTGGAAGTATCATCTATCTCGGGTATCAATATTTTAAATGAAGGGCCTTCCTCATATAAAAAACGAAGGTCATCCCACACCAAAAGGATAGATTTAACTACATGTATGCATATGTATTGTTGTCATGCCTTTGTTATGGAAGAAATCCCAAGGAACCTACATGCCCACCTACACGCAACTTTCAAGCGTTTTTCTCTTACTAATCCCAGAATATCTGCACTTTTTCCATATTTGTCAAAAATAACAAAGGGCCAATAAATTGTCATTAACAACAATCTTTCCAAAATTATAACCATTTTAGGGGCAGAATAGAGAGATTTCGCACATAAGTGAAAGTACAACTTATACGTATACGTATACGTATAACTTAATATGGCTGGCCATCTGGACCAATGTATCGTCATACTTTTAACGCCGTAAAATCTACTTTTAACGCCGTAAAAACGATTTTATACGCCGTAAAGAATTACTTTTACGCCGTTAAAAACGATTTTTTACGCCGTTAAAATTCATTTTGAACGGCGTCAAAAATAATTTTTAACGCCGTAAAAACGATTGTATACGCCGTAAAGAATTACTTTTTACGCCGTTAAAAACGATTTTGTACGCCGTAAAAACCGATTTTTACGCCGTTAGAAATTATTGTTTACGCCGTTAGAAATTATTTTTTACGCCGTTAAAAATCTTTTTTACGCCGTTAAAAATTATTTTTTACGCCGTTAAAAATTATTTTTTACGCCGTTAAAAATTACTTTTTACGCCGTTAAAAATTACTTTTTACGCCGTTAAAAATTATTTTTTACGCCGTCAAAACTGATTTTTTTACGCCTTTCGAAATTGCGAACGTACAGAACATTGTTAATCATTTGCGAAAAAATGTTTAAACAATGAAAACTCGATGTATATCAAATTCCCGAGATTTCCATACAACCAAATGCGTCTGGCAAATAAAAATTCCAATATAAATGATAAATGTGACATGTACAGTGACAGAAAAATAGGGTTTTGGATTTATATCAATCAGTCGGTAAGTCGAACATACACGTTCGTTTGTTCAATGAATACCAGATTGTAACGCTGGTTTTAATTGGCTGCCAGCTATACTTTTTAACGGCGTACAAAATCGTTTTTAACGGCGTAAAAAGTAATTCTTTACGGCGTATAAAATCGTTTTTACGGCGTTAAAAATTATTTTTGACGCCGTTCAAAATGACTTTTTACGCGTACATAATTATTTTTGACGCCGTAAAAAAATCAATTTTGACGGCGTACAAAATCGTTTTTAACGGCGTTAAAAGTAATTCTTTACGGCGTATAAAATCGTTTTTACGGCGTTAAAAGTATGACGATACATTGGTCCAGATGGCCAGCCATAAACTTAAAGGGTTTTGTCGAACTATTATATTTACTAAAATCAATTTTAAATTGTACTTAATGGAACATAACTATTCCCGATATAGAAAAGCTCCATCAACTAGAGACTGTGAATGCACTGTCATCTGCACGTGTAGATTATGCACATTATAATTAAATGCTTGCTTCCGTGTCATAGTAATTATAGTGTATTATAAACACGATCCTTTAAAGTGAGTCATTATCCTTTAAAGTGAGTCATTACATAAACAAGCTGATTATTTCAAAGTTTTCATGATCAGTATAAGTTCAATGAACTTACAAACGGTATAAATACGTAGATGATAAACGTATACAGTTGGATCTCCGTATAAAGCTTTACCTACATGTGTGTGGAACAATTGACCGCAAGCATTTTAAAAAATTAATTGACTGAATAGGAACAATATCCAATCAAATACCTTAACCATCAATTTGAAACACCAATCAAACCAGTAGGTTCTAGCGATTCCTGGAAACGACCCATTCAGAAGCTCAACAAATGACATACAGGGTGTTTCATAACGAGCATCTCCAAAAAGTCAATTTGAGAAGAGATGGGTCTATAACATTATGTACTATATATGAGCCTATTTTATTCTAGACAAACATATTTGGATCAACTAAACATGCTACAATTCAAGAAAGTACAAATGGCATCCCTTTGACCTTTATTTATTACAGTCCGAGAAGATCTTTCCTGACGAAAAGCCCACATTATGAAACACCTTGTACGTTTACTTATAAGTATAAGTATACGTTATAAGTTGTACTTTCACGATGTACGAAATCTCTCTAATGACAATCTCCTTTGCAGTATGATATAATAGAAATGTCATTCATTGAATTTAATAGAGATTCACTTGGAAATGATTTCATTTCTTCTGATAATGTGTACATATTTTCATCTTATCACTGTTAACAAGTCATTTCTTGCAAATATTATTCTATAAATCTGTTTATCTCTGTTTTTGTGATTAGATTGAGGCAACAAATAAGCATCTATCGGGTTTTTTAGTTCTATGGAATCTAAACATTTGTACATTGCCTTTCTTTTTGAAGTATACATATAGTGCATTTACCATTGTGATGGGGTTGGAAGTCAAACAAATCTGCATTTCTTGTTGAATATGATTGTTTGCAGCCTTTTCTTGCTCATCACCGATGACTTGTGCAAAGTAAATGAGAATGGATAAGTTGATTATTATCTGTTATGTTGATCGTACAGTATATAACACCAATATATCCATTAAAAAAATCTTTCTATTTTAGTTTTAGTGACTATTGTTTTAGCACATACTTATGTTTGGCTTATGTTTACTAATATATTATGATGTTGAATTTCAACACCTTCAATATAAAAGTCCATTGAGTAAATGAACTATGCATTCTGTATGTACAAGTATAATTATTTTTAGAAAAACGAAGCTTTAGAATACAAGCTATCAGAAGACAACATATTATTATTATTAGACAACGTTATTTTTGAAATAAAATCACATTGAATAATGGTGAAAGAAACAAGTCAATTGTAAATGAATAATAGAGGGATAAAAATAATATACATAGCAGTTTCTACATATGAAATATGTCAAAACGTAATAATTCGTATTAACTGCTTTATTCAATTTCACACATATTGTCTTATCACAATTAAATTCAGCATATCCTCATATGTTCTTATAAAAATGATTAAATGCCAAAGCACTTTTATCAGATGGAAAAATAGTAGGAAAGGTGTGAGGTTAAAAATAGTTAATATCGTTCTCTAGATCTTGTAAACTGTGTCACATTGTACTCTTGTAGTAGAGTGCTATACCCCCCCCCCCTTGTTTAACTAGAACTTGTGAACTGACATATCAGAACTGCAAATCCTTTAGTCTTATTTCAACAATTTTAATATTACAAAGTATGTGAACTGCTCAATATTATATGCTAACATCTTCTGTACCACAAAGACACTATACTAGCAGATTAATGGCACTTGATTAAGTAATTTGTACATATCAATCTTTAATGGGGTTGGATTATGGCCCAGTAGGTCAGGACCTAGTCTGGGTGAAAAAATGTTTTATCAAATATTGGAAATCACAAGGCCGTGATCACTTTGATTTTTTACCCTTTAAGCTTTTTGGTCACTCAAATGAATCAAATAAACTTGATGCCAAGATATTAAATTACGTTATGATCCTATTTTTAAAAAAAATGGTTCATGAGAAATTGAGATAATTAAGAAAACTTCCCAAATTCTTCACATTGCTATTGCTCCATATTGATGTGGACGTCAAAAAAGAGACTGACACTGGTGTGTAGATATTCAAATGAGCTAGAGTATCATGCCATCTTTAATCCTTAATTTTGATTAATTACAGAGAAATATGCATGTAGGTTACTAGGTCGGGCCATTTTACAACTGACCCATACAGCGGTGGAAAATGGCCCATGCCATAGACTGATAAACGGGACATCAAATTATATATTTGTTATCAGATATTTGTGGCCCAACTCGGTAAATGGGACAACAAATTATATTCTATTTCAGAAATTGTTGCTAGACTCAGTGAAGGGGATGGCAATTCCAGTAATGCAGAGTTGGTTGAATATGTAAATGACCTCACGATCACAGTGGGTGGCGTTGTCATACAACTAACACCACAAAACATCAAAATTAAGGAATCTGGGACACCTACCAGGATTATCCGATGGGCCATACAAGAGATTTCAAATGATGTTGGGTGGATATCTGTATCAAGAAAGCAAGCGAAAGTTTATTTGAGGGAAGGCGACACTACAGTAAATGTCATTCGTAAAGGCCTGTTGCGTCATACAAGTTTCCTCAATTTTGGTATCAGTGAAGTCAACGGATTGTCAAAGAAAGCAGGTGGGATTGTGGGTAAGTGTGAATTAAAGATCGCATGTATCTGATAAATTGAACACAAGCTTATGAGAACTTCCAGAACACCAATGGGTGTTTATTTCAAAGAGTTGCATATCAAAAGAAATGTTCCAAAGATACCATTTTAGTTTGTCACATTAGAATAATTTTAATGTATGTCACTACACTGTAATTGTAACATTACATTTTCAGGCTCCATTGCTAATGAGGCAGTGTTTATCCAAGGATCAAACACAACTACAGGGAGTGGGGACTTTATATCCTGGTCAGGAATAATGGTCCCTGTTAACATAGATTCCAAACTATGCCTTAAAGTGGATCCAATGTATGAGTACAAATTGAACAAACAGTTTGAGAAGTTTCAAACCAAAAAGCTGGACTTTCTTGAAAAATAAACATTTTTTGGCAGAAATCATCCAACTGGTTGAAAATAGCAAGTGTCATGTTTTTAATAGTCTGTGCCGCCCTCGATGAAAGCCGATCTCCAAGGCATGATGAGGCATGGTACATAGCAAGTATAGAGACACCTTATATTTGAAAAAAACAAGTCAATACTATTAGATCTTGAAGAACAATATAAAAATAAATAATAGTAAGAGAACATAAAGTATATGCATAATAATAACACTTTTGGAGAACGGATAATTTTTAATAGATTTTGAAAATAAAGCACCAATATAATTTTGCCTTCTCATTTACAACTTCAATATGTATGTTAAAACATGTATAAAAAATGAAATAGTAAATGGAATAAATATGTATTCTTGTTCAGGACCTTTAGGCCACAACCAAATATGAATGTACTGTTCTTTTTTTCAATTATAATGCCTGAATGTGTTAATCAATTAAACAAATGAAAAAAACTGACATGTCATATCTAAAGACAAGAAACATATATGCAGTACAACTATGTGAGGTGTTAGTTAGGCTTCCTTATTGATTATATATTTATTAAGTCAGAGCATTGCACAAAATTTGTCCAATATTTCACTGCGCATGCGCAGACCCATTACTTCCGGTTTTCCAAAGCCTATGGGATTTATAATGGAGACATTTTTCGAACGCTTACTGTGCGAATGATATTGATTTGCCACCTTAGTCATCTCAGGTTTCTATAACTAGACATCAACCTTTACTGATTTAACATGTTTTAAGCAATGTACACATGCACACTTTTCGGCCAATTTGTTTTGAAAAAATCATGAGGAATTCATGCATGACTCCATTGAAATCCATTAGAAATGGCGTCAAAATGGTGAAATGAGGATATTCAACGATCTGGTAGAGGTACTTAAAATCATATGGTATCTTAGTCATCTCAGGTTTCTGTAACTTTGAAGGTAGATCTGTTTGATTCCGTTGAGATTAGAATCCTCATACCTTTAACTTTTCGGCCAATTTCAAACAAAATATGATAACTTTTGGTGATATAACTGGTTCATTACATTGGAATGACGTCAAAATAAAATAAGACAATCTCAGTTTCTGGCACTGACGTCATGACGTCAGATTTATCTTAAGATCTCAAATATGACGTCATGTTTAATCAATGAATGACATCTATCGGCTATTCGACCAATTCTGTGCAATGGTGTACGCATATCAATGTGTACAGATGGTGTTACCCCTTTTTAAATTCATATATCAGTATATAAGTGTTATTTTTTTATAAAGTATGATCGAAGATATAAAATCAATTCCAGAGATTTCCAGAAAATTCCAGACTCGAAATGGCATCTTCATGTAAATGTAAGATTTCGCGACATTTTTTATGACAACAATATACAATTATTGACCTCTCCAGAGGTTTACTGTCAAAATTATATCCCGAGACTGTAAACCGAGACCGTAGGTCGAGGTTTACAGTCGAGGGATATAATTTTGACAGTAAACCGAATGGAGAGGTCTATAATTGTTTTGTTAGTCCGAAGAATATCTTAGATTTTTCTGACCCTTGAAGTTGACTTGAAGTTGGATCAAGACCCTCGAGACGTTCATGTTGTTCACGGCAGTAAGTTCACTCAATGGAGTCAAATTACTCTCCTGGGCGAAGTCCATTAAAAGCTTTGTACAAAGTTTTAGATTTTTCTTCGTATTTTGACTGTCTTTACTCTCTAAGAGACTAATAATATCCTCATCTTCAACATTTTTGAAACGGCTAGTGCTAGTGGCGGCCATTTTATCGTCTGATAATGACGTCATTTTAGTGGAATGCTGGGAATATTATTCACCGGCAATGCATTGCGCGGTGTACAGTTAAAATTATTCACCGCTCGTTGACCAATCAAAATCGAGTATTTCAACTGAGGTACTAACAATATGTAATATCTAACATTAAATGGCTTCCAAACCTCCCCCAAAACCATCCATTTCACAATATTATGTTGCCTTTTTTTTTCATTTTAAGCAACATCCAAAATGTCACCAGATGCGGAACACTAACCACCGAACAACATCCATATGCGCAAGGTAAATTCCAAAGTAGCCATTCGGATTTTCTTTCCCAGGGTCTCGTCTGTCAAGTCTTGTCAACTCATTTCAAGCCAAACCGCTTGATGGATTGACTTAAAACCTTTCAATCTTGTCTACTCTTTGTACATATTAAATGGACATACAATCGTTTTATCTGTAGGCCTAATAAAATGTAATAATTAGATAGGCATATTACTCCAAACAAATATCTTCACTCAGATTTTAAACTGCTCTATGGCTCTGCCCAAGTAAAATACAACCTCTACTTACCCCATCTTGTCAACTGATTAAAATTGAGTAGCTTTTCCAAATATATAAATAATTTTAGAAAAAAAGTTGTATTACTTAACAACAGTTAGTAGACAAGGCACAGGGTGAACAAAATCGCACCTAAAACATAGCAGTGTGGAATCGCGATAACAAGATTTATCTAAAAACTTTCAAAACGGCCGCCAGAATCCAAGATGGCCACCGAAAATTTAATCAGCTCTAAAACGTCTTACTATGTAACATGTGTAAAAATCTGAACTTAATAATTCAGTGGTTTTCCTGGAATCGTGATGACAAGATTTATCTAAAAACTTCCAAAATGGCCGCCAGAATGCAAGATGGCCGCCGAAAAGTTGATAAGCACTAGAACTTCTTACCATGTAACATGTGTGAAAATTCAAAGCAAAACCGTCAAGTTGTTATCCTGGAATCCCGATTACAAGAAAGTGAGACGCCACCCGCCTGTCGCCCGTCAAGCTGAGGACAATATCATACCTTTTTAGGTACGATGAAAATAGTCAACAAACACAACACAATACGTACGTATACTTTTTGATGAAGATGAATGATACTACAGCAACTTATATTTCACTTGCAATTTTTATTTGATAATATTCTAGCACTACAAACATCATTTATAAATTGTACAGATGTTGATAAAATACAAGAAGAAGAATTAACATTAATAAACAGAAATTCAAAACTGGCTGTGCGGCTGCTGTAGAAAATGTGACTGCAAAAGTAATAAGACCACAGAAATATTACGACGAGCGCAGAAATGTTACTGACCGCAGAAATGATAGGCCGTGCGGTCGCCGTAGGAAATGTGAGTGGTGTGTTAATCAAAATGTCCTGTGGATGGTTTTTACCCTCCGACCACCTGCTGCTTGGTCTTTTACAGTTTAATTTCAATCCCTGTTCTGAGGCTACCTCTGTAATATACAGTAGGTGGTCGAAGGGGTCGGTCTTTTCCATACAACCTATATAATTGGGGATGTTTAACATCTGAGCAAAGCCTTAATTATTTATCCTTAATTATTTATCTTAGACGCCATACTGTTGATAAAATAACAACAACTATAATACATTAACATATTTTTATAAATTCTACTTTATTGCACTTTGTTTAACAGAGCTTTAGGGATGATGTCCCGACGTCAACAGTTCCGGAAAATAGTCTATTTCGTTTTTAAATTAGAAAATGTTATGTCTTTTACTTCAAATGTTCAATAAATTAGCATTCTTGACAGACAAAATCCCTATTTTCGCTCACCCCTTTATGACATCTGAGACTAACATAAAATGATTTTTATGATGGTCTCGGATGAAATTAACGGTATCTGGTCAACTCGGACCCTAGTTAACTCGGACCCTAGTCAACTCGGACCCTAGTTAACTCGGACCCTAGTTAACTCGGACCCTAGTTAACTCGGACCCTAGTCAACTCGGACCTAGATATATTCAAATTATATTGAAAGTGTATTTATCATATAAAGCAATCATTATGATAGATATCAAGTATATTTTAATTGAATTGAATTTAATACAACTGTATAATACAATTAAAAATTTATGTTTGTGTATATTTCTAATGAGTCAAAGTCAATTTTCTAAACATTGTAATCTTACATTGTATTTACATTTTGTTTTTCAAAATGCTATTATCACTTTTTAATACATTATATTTTTATATCTTATATAAAATTTTCACAAAAGTAGAGTGAATTTTGTTTTCACAAATGAATAACCTAATTATGAAATCTTGAATGGCCTAATAAGCATTTAATTAGGTTGCTGTCATAAAGATAATGTTGAGCTGTTGCTTTAATTCCAATATGAGTATTAGTGTATTTGTGTTTTGAATTTGACCAATTTCATTATCAAAACCTATTTTGTAAAACCTTAGATTTGTAGTCCAGGCTTAAAACGTATGTTGCTTGTTACAAAGCTTTCAAATTAAATAATATAAGAGATAAGAAAATATTTAATTGATATAATGAATTTATTTCTACAATAATACAGTGTAGTTACAATAATTACTACATATTTACATATTTACAAAATATCATACTGCATCAGAAATAATGTCCTTTTAACACTTAGAACAGTCCATTTTTAAACTTTCACAATCTTGCTAATCTTCTTCAGCAGCTTTGAAGTGGTGATGTTCTCTGCTTCATACTGCTCCCAATACTTCATGATCTTCCCCTGGCTGGCCTTGTAGACTTTTCGTTGGTAGCGACGAAGTTTTCCATCCTTCACCAAGCGTCGGTTGATACTGATTATCTTACTTTCCCTGTGAAGTAAGGGGATCATCATGTACATGGGGAGATTGGAACGCCCTGCCTTCCCGTTCATGCGTCTGTGCCAGCCCTCAGTGTCGTTGTTGGTACGAATAGGCTGGTTGAAGACACTCCATGCCTCTGGGTTCCATGTGGTGCTGGTAATCCAGGTCTGTTTCATGTAGCTTACAAGCGGTTGAACTGCTCCTGTAGATCTTAACTCTAGCTGCTGGAATGCATCAGAGATATGCTCACTGGGAAGGAATGGAAGGGCCAGTAGCTTTCTGATGTAGTCGTGGACTGCCTCGTCACTGTTGTAAGCCGAAGAAAGCCCCAACTCTTGGGTCTTACGCCACACTGCTTGTGTCCAG